TCTATAAAGCTTGCAATCGTTCATACAAGAAAAGCCAGTTCTTTTTTTATTTTATTTTTATTGTATTAAGTCTTTTAATAAGATTGAATTTATAAAACGTAATGTATCAAATCTTGTACCAAATTAAGCTAGGGAGAGTACTTTGTGAGTCTTCTTTGCAATAACTCTGTTTGCTCAAAAGTTATCACATATCTTATGAGTATAAAACAATATAAATAAATCACGGAAAAATCATAGCAAATCGTAATAATCCATTGGACCAAGCGAAGAACATGAAAATAAGTACTCAAGGTTAGGAGAAGAAATCTTAACAATTTTTATTGATAATATTTGTTTGGTCTGCCTCTCCATGAAGAGGTTCAGAGCCTTACAATGGTGTTTTCTCTTCCCATAAGATGCGTATCTTTTTATCTTCTCTCTCTCTCTCTTGTGAATAGTGGTGAAGAAGCAGCCCCCTTTCTAGGGCTTCCACTCTTAGTATTTATAGATGTGAGCTTCGTGAGCTGGCAATAAATGGCCGTGGCCACGCTGAGGTTCCGTCCCCACGGGGGAATGAATGGGCCGTGCCCTCGTAGATTGAATCGGACAAGAGTCGAATCCTGTTATAAATAAGTGGCCATACCACTTATTAATTATGGATTAGCTCAAGACGAGATTAACTCCGTTAATTACCGTGAGATCGGATTTTGACCCATACAGTTAGTTCCTCCGCTTATTGAGGTCGTGTTTCGGCCGAGCTCGATGAGCGGACTTCATCGATTGTGATTTAAAAAAAAACTCGAATAAGGGGGTCGACTTATTGACGGCGGTGGCCTTAGCCGTTTACACGTTGGAGATGGTCGTAGCCTTTCATACATTAGAGATGGCCGTAGCCTTTCATATAATGGGGATGGCCGTAGCCTTTCATATATTGGAGATGGCCGTAGCCTTTCATATGTTGGAGAGCCTTTCGTACATTTGAGATGGCCGTAGCCTTTCATATAATGGCGATGGCCGTGGAGAATGAGTATGCGCCGGGTACGTATTGGTCACGTCCAGAATTTTGAAGGCGTACGGCGCATTCTTTCAGCGTTCGCAGGCCGTTGCGATTATTCTGATGGCGGGACATTGGCGGATGGCTGAGAAGCCGCTTCGCGGAGCTTGTCATAATGACGCATGCTTCGGCAGAACCGAACCGTTTTACGGTTGGTCGTGCAGTTAATGATGGCTATTGGGTTTCGCGAAAGCCATTTACGTTGCCTATAAAGGTGGGTTGAGGCATTCATTTCTCATATCTTCATTGTTCATCTGAGAGAGATTCTGAGGAAACTTTTTCGTTCTGCTAATTCATCTTCTCCTTTCTTTCCTTTGATTGTGATAACCTTTGTCTTGCCCACCGAATTCTATCCCTTTCTCTTTAGTAGATCAGCAATGGCGCAGTTCTTCCCACGATGCTCTTCCGATAGATTTTTCGGTAGTTGAAGGGCCACCTCCGGCAATGGGAGGTGCAGAACAGATAGAGACCGAAGAAGTTCCGTCGGTTGACGAGGTAGTTCCTCGGCCCGAAGTTTGGCGATTGATTTCACTGTCGACGGTGGAGAGGACCCGGTGGATGAAGCCCCGTTAATGGGGGAGATTGGGATGGCCCGATTACGGGAACAGGGGGTCATTCCCACCCATGTAGACATCGTTCTCGCTAGAAGCGAGGAGAGGGTCCACACCGACCGCAGGGGATACTGCATTTTTTACGCCTATCCTTTCAGGTTGGGGTTAAAGATCCCGCTCCCAATACTGGTGGTGGATTTCTGCCGTTATTACGGGTGTACCCGGGTCAGCTCACTCCTTCCCTCTACAAATTGTTGGCAATGTTCATCAAGTACGCGGAATTGGCCCGTAGGGAGGTCACGTTGCAGCATGTGCTTAGTCTCTACGCTCCTCAGAGAGTCTGTGGCACCATGATTCAGGCGTGCCATCGTGGGTCGAGGGGTCTGGTCATGAGATTGGATGACGAGGTCGACCCTCGCCCTTTCGAGCACTTCTTTTATATCAAGACCAGGCATCTGGTGGCGGATGCTACTGGGTTCCCAGAGGCTTGGAACCATGCACGTAAGTTCTTTAGTGGTTGAATTCCCTTTTCTTCCCCTCTTTATGATTTGTGATCATGAGCGTTAACTCGTGTCGTTTTTTGTAGCCGACAGGTCGCCGCCGGCCCCATTGTCTTGGATACGTGAGTGGGTCGAGGCCGTACTCCCCCATACGGTGGGGATACGCACATGGGCGTCTTTCTGGGAGAGGCATGGCCGTAGGCCTGTGGCAGGTAAAAAATTGATTTCTTCTTCTGTTCCGCTTTGTTTCAACTCTATTCATCAACTTTGTTTTCCTGTGATCAGGGAGGGCACGCCGCGTTAGGGCCCCTCAGTTGGCCTTCCGTCGGCCTAGTGCAATTGCTCGGCTTACTGCAGCGCCGATGTCGCGCTCAATTCCGAGGGCGGCATCAGTTGAATCTTCAGCGGTTCCTTCTCCAGCACGGACCCTACTTCGGGACGAGGGGCCATCGGGGGTTGTGCGCCCTAGAGCAGAATCGTCATCAGATGGGGAGGAGGAGAGATCGTTGATAAGGCGTAGGGTCGTGTTCACGCCGACTCCTCCTGTGGTAATTAATTTGGACTCCCCCCCGGCGGATGCGGAGAGGAGTGCGGCGGCGGCGCCTGCCCTTGAGGGCGGACAAACAATGGGGGTTGCCCCGGTTGGCTTAGGTCGTGATGATACCGTCGCTTCGGCGACTCAATTGGTGGTTCCAGTCGCTGAGACGGGAGGTAGTTCCTCAGCGGCTGCTAATGTGGGTGAGGCAAGCGCTCCTACGGTGGCTATTGCGGGTGGTTCTACCTCGCCGGTAGCGGAAGGAGGAGGGGATGCTGTAGGAGATGAGTACGAGTCCGAATCTGACTTGGACCCCGACGACGTCCGTATGTTCCGGGAAGGCTTCACCAATTCAGTGGTGCGCGCAGAGGGGCGATCTCGCTTCGTCGAGGTTCCCACGGAGTTGAACTTATTGCTCCAAGGGGAAAGCTTGGTGCCGCAGTTCGAGCCGCTATGCTCGGAGGCCGAGAATGCGTCGTTGAGGGGCGTTACGGATATCGGACTGATGAATGAAGTGGCCGTGATGGGCTTGAGGGTATGTACTATTACGTCGGTTCGCTTCTTCTTTGCCTTAGTTTGTTCTTTATCTTAATCGTTGTCTTTGCTTTGCAGTCTTATTTGTTGGAGGTGGAGAGCATCCGCCGAGCCAAAGTCCGCTCGGGGATATTTTTGCGGGCGCTGGAGAAGTATCGCCGCTACCGGGATCAGTGCCGAGAGTTGCGCGTGCGCTTGAGGAATGATCCCCGTAGCTGGGCCTTGGTTGAGGAACTGGCGAGGCGGGAGCTTCAGATGCAGCAAACACTTGGCAGAACGAGTGCTCTCGAGGAGCAGCTCCGCCGGAAGGATGAGGAGCTCGAGGCGGTAAAGAGAGCCGCAACTGAGTGTGAGCGCCAGAGCCAGGCTAAGGCGGCGGAGGCCGCTGCGGCATGGGGCGGGAAAGTGACTGCGTTGGAGGGTGAAGTCGCGGTATTGAAGCTTCAGATGAGGGATGCCTCGTCGAGGGCCGGGGCATTAACGGAAGCTATCCGCGTGCACGAGTCCCAACGGGCGTTGGAGAGGGCTACTGCGGCCTTTAGAGAAGCGAGTCTCGAGGAGCGGATCGGTGTCTTTGAGCAGGATGCCCAAGTCATGGCGGACCGGATCACAGCCTTAGAAGAAGAGAATCAGCGCCTACGAGACCAAGTCGCTTCTTCCAGCCAGGCTCGCGAACTTTGGGTCTTTGCCGAGGCCCAACGTGATGTATATAAGAATTTGTGGGAGGCCGGCATCGTGACCGAAGCTGCTTTCGAGGGAGCGTGTCAAAAGGCTCGTGAGGCCCGTACCGACTGTGGTTTTGACGCGGCGACGCCAGAGGCTGACGCTGGTGCAGATGGTGGCGCGGATGGCGCCGAGTAAAAAGATATGCATTTTTCTTGTTTTTTATTTTCTCTTTCCTTGTATTGATCGGCCTTGGCTGGGTGTAAGCGGGGAAGACCCGCAATTAACTTTGTTGATAAATGAGATCTCCTTTCCGTTATTTGCTTTGTGTCTGTTTTGTATTCTCCTCTTTTTCCCCCTTTGATTTTTCTTTGCATGCGCTCGAAGGGGTGATTTGCCTTCGAGTTCGACTCTGGTAGGCATGTTAGTTTTTAATTGTTGATGACTCTTCTTCTTCGACTCGGGGTGAGCGAGTCGGAGCCGTTGCTTGGCGATAGCGGCACTTAGCCTTAGTCCCAGTTCGGGCGCGGTCGAACTGTCGGCCGTTATGACAGAAACGCGGCCTTGTAGTTTGACCGGGGCCGGACTTTACGTGTCCCCAATCTTGATGGCCTTAGCCATGTAGGCGACTTCGACTGTCGTCGAGTCGTTTACTCATTGTAGTCGAATCTAGGTCGACCGTTGGCGGCGATGGCCTTAGCCATAATATAATTGGTGGCCTTAGCCATGTAGGCGACTTCGACTGTCGTCGAGTCGTTTACTCACCTTAGNATCAGATTATCTTTTAACACATCTAATTAAGCGAGTTAGTAAAGGAAAGAGGTGAAGAAAAAACAAAAAATTGAAGGTAACTAACAACTAATTCTTACAAATGACATTCAAAGTTTCATATCCATAATTTTATCCGTCAAACAAGGGCTAATATTACTAATTACTCACTTTCTAATCCTCATACTTACATGGTAATGACAGTATTTTAGCTACTACTACTGGTTTCAGTTGCGTTTAGTTAGTAATTACTAATTAATATCATCCACAAGCATTTTGCATGGATTAAATATCACGTAAGACTTGTGTTCAAGTTTTCCATCCTCAAATCTCCTAAGACTTTGCCCCTCTTTAAGGATAATTCATGACCTCAACCTCTTATAAAAAGCAGATAGCCTTTTGTTTGGAAAAGACAAGCAAGAGAGCAAAGAGAGAGGGCAGGCAACAAAGATTGCCGTGCTCATGTAAACAAGGGAAAAATATCCAAAAAAAAAAAAAAAGAATTTTTTTATCAAAGGTCGATCTAAACAAGAAAAAAAAATAGAAAAAGGATATAGATCAAAGGCCTTTGTTTTAAAATATCCCTTCAAATCTTGTGTATCCACTATCCAATAGGAAAACTCACAAAAGAATTTGTAAATATACATTCTATTCTATCGTAAAAATAAAAAGATAGAATTTTTAATTTGCTATCAAACGTTAATTCATAAAAGATGGCAGGAGGATTTGCAGGAGGTGGATCTGGAGGAGGTGACTATGAAGGAAAAGTCACATCTTTTGTTATCATGACCTGTTTGGTTGCTGCCACTGGTGGTCTCCTCTTTGGTTATGATATTGGTATCTCAGGTATGTATATTTTCTTAGAGCCGTTTAGACATAAGAAATTTTTCCTTTTTTCCAAAAATCTTTTACTTTTTTTTTGAAAATCAGCGTTTGTTTATAAAATTTTCAATTTTTACTTGAAAAGCATTTTAGAAATTTTCGAAAATTTGAAAAACTCCAAAAAGTTGTTTTTCAAATTTTTCACTCAAATCACTCACAAAACGTCAAAAACAACCCAAAATTATATTCATGTCCAAACACAACTCTAAATTTCAAATACCATTTTCACTTGAAAAAAAAATTTCACCCTAATTGAAATTTTATAATTCTTGTGTCCAAACGCCCACTTAATTACGCTTCTTTCGAATTTGGTACGCCCAAAGTAATTTTTCTTTTAAAATATTTTGAGAAATGAGCTATTTCTCCAAAAGTGTTTTTCATTATTTAGTAGGCATTTGGTTATAAAAAATACTATAATTTTTGAAAAAAGTACTAATATTTAAAATTAAGTTAAAAACATTACTAGTATTTAGAATTTGAAATTATGTTTAGTCATGCATTTCACTTGAAAAAATATTATGATTCTGGGAGTGCGGAAAACAACTTTCTGAAAAGTTTGAAAAAAAGTGGTCTTTTTGATAAACTCGTTTCCGAAAAACTAGTGAAATTTCATGGACAAAATATTTAAATTCCGAAGAAAATAATTTCATGACAACCAAACACCAGAAAATGACTTATTTTCTTGAAAGCATCTTTAAGGAAAGTATTCTTTCCAAATACACCCTTCAATCTATATATTTTGCTTAATGATTTGATCCAAATTGCAGGAGGAGTGACATCTATGGATGAATTCCTTCTCAAATTTTTCCCAAATGTATATCACAAGGAGAAGGCCTTGAAAGCAGGAGGCAACCAATACTGCAAATTTGATGACCATTTACTGCAACTCTTCACTTCATCCCTTTATTTAGCAGCATTAGTTGCTTCATTTGCAGCTTCAATAACAACCAAAGCCTTTGGCCGCAAGATCTCCATGCTTGTCGGAGGTCTAATTTTCCTCGTCGGCGCTGTCCTCAATGGTGCGGCCATGAACTTGGCCGCACTCATTATCGGTCGGTTGTTGCTGGGTATTGGCATTGGTTATGCCAATCAAGCAGTCCCAGTTTACCTTTCAGAAATGGCACCACCTAAACTTAGAGGAGCACTCAATGTTTGTTTCCAAATGGCTGTCACACTTGGTATTCTCATTGCAAATTTGGTCAATTATGGTACCGCTAAAATGGCTAAAAATGGATGGAGAGTTTCACTCGTTCTAGCCGCTGTCCCTGCAATTATAATGACTGTAGGAGCTGTGTTCTTACCTGACACACCAAATTCTTTAATCGACAGAGGCCAGAAAGAGAAAGCTAAAACCATGTTACAAAAAATCCGTGGTACCAGTAACGTAGACAATGAATTTGAGGACTTAGTAATAGCCAGTGACATGTCTAAGCAAGTCCAAAATCCATGGGGAAACATCATGAAACCTAAGTACAGACCACAATTGACAGTTGCTGTTCTCATTCCTTTCTTCCAACAACTCACTGGTATCAATGTCATCATGTTCTACGCCCCTGTATTATTCAAAACTCTGGGATTTGGTGACGGCGCTTCTTTAATGACTGCTGTTATTACTGGACTTGTCAATGTCGTTGCCACCCTTCTCTCCATATTCACTGTTGATAAATACGGCAGAAGATGTTTGTTCCTCTTTGGTGGTTCCCTCATGCTTGTCTGCCAGGTAAAATAATACTATTCTTTAATTATCATACATATATAGTTTACAACTCACCTCTATGTGATTGCACCAATATTTGGCCAGGGCGTATGCACCTTGTTACATGCTTCGTCGAAATATTTTATTAGATAAGTATAAGAAAAATAAAAATATTAAGGATAAATATTAAAAAATGACACAATTTATCATTACAACGATTTGTCATTAGTCCACTTCTTTAAATTGTGACACCACTTATGAAATATCATGTGTACGCCACTGTCATTGGCGAAAACCAGAAATTCTAACCAAGTTATTGAAAAGACATGTAAAGATGTGTGACTTAGGATCACACTTACTATCTAAAGCAATTTTTAAGGGTATTCAAGAATTTATGTAGTATATATACAAGAAATACATACAATTGTTGTGACGCATGGAGCATATAAGCAACGTGTTCAACTGTACCCAGCATTTTCGGCACAGAGAGACTAACAAAAATCAAACTTGTCTTGTTACAGATAGCTATTGGTGCCATCATAGCCAGTGTGTTTGGGCAGGATGGTCTGGGAACGTTCAGCCCGGCACTAGGGAACGTGACAGTCGCCTTAATCTGCATATACGTAGCAGCATTTGCATGGTCATGGGGGCCATTGGGTTGGTTGGTGCCAAGTGAGGTTTTGCCTATGGAAATCCGATCAGCAGGGCAATCGATCACAGTCTCAGTTAACATGTTCTTCACGTTCGTGATCGGCCAACTCTTCCTCACCATGCTTTGCGAGATGAAGTTTGGTCTCTTCTTCTTCTTTGCTGCATTTGTGCTAGCCATGACCTTCTTTATCTTCTTCTTCTTGCCTGAGACTAAAGGGATCCCTATTGAAGAAGTGAACAGAATCTGGAAGAGTAACTGGTTCTGGAAAAGATATATGCCAGATGATGATCACCCTAATACTAATGTTTAAGACGACGGCAAGGGAATGAAAAGGAGGATTGTAAATACTTTGGCCACTCGCGGATGCTAGCTACTACAGTATTATATTTTTTTTTGTTTCCAATGTTAATAACTGCTCTCTTTTTGCTTGCCTATGCTATTGACTAATGTTCTTGTGTTACCAACATTATTATTAATAAGATCAATTTCTTTTCCATGTATTCTCTTTGTTCACATTTTACATTTTTGCAGTTATTTTCTTGCTGTGTACTGACAATGATATGAGAAAAATAAATGGTATGTCAAAATAACCTCAAGATGAATCACAAAGCATCAAGCTATAAAGTTTCACAAATCAAAGCTTCTTTAATTTATACATTTCATTATTATAGTTTTGGGTGATTCCTAGCTCTAAGTTCCTTAAACCAATCCCTTGCAAATAACGCATATACCCCCCCCCCCCCCTACCCCCCCCCCCTTCCCTTTTCCTTATCTCTGCCCCAACTACTACAAGGAAAAACTTCCAAAGGAGCACCTTAATTAAAGGAACCCCTTGACTAACATTGTACAATGACATATATTCAACTAGGGATGTCAAATGGGCGGGTTGGGCTGATTTTGGGCGGGCAAAAGTAAATTAAATCAAATAATGGACGGGTTAAAGTTATTTGGGCCGATATCAGGGGCGGACACACGTAGGGTCAAGAGGGTCCAAATGAATCCGCTTCGTTGAAATTTTTTGATATTTTATATAGGTTAATTTCTGTAAAATAAGTACAATATGTTATTTGAACCCACTTGATACAAGTTGATCTTATGGTAAGATGGTTCAGTGGGTTCAAAATCAAATGAAGGGTCTGAAGTTAGAACCTAGCAGCAGTTTTTTTTGCATAGTTCTGTTTTGAGTCACACTTTGCATCACAAGTGTACGCGGGCCTAATAAATAGGGGAACTAGCATATTTCGTTATTTTTAAACATGAAGAGCTAGCTAGTTTATTCCTTTAGTGTGTTCTATTTTTTTTTATCTCTATCTTCTAATTTATTTCTATTTGATCTCCTACTCAATCCAAAAGGAATTAATCTTCAGTCTATTTAACTTCATAAGATCAAAAAGATTTACAAAGTAAAATCTTACATTATTTTTGATAAAATATGCAAATACAAATCTTGAAATTATTTCTAATTTGTTACTTCATATTAAACTGGTTTTTCCTAAATTGTTTATTTATGTTACGTAGATTGTTAGTTCACTTTTTTTTGGTAATAACTGTGAACATTACCATTTTCAAACCACATTAACTCATACACCTAAAGAGCACCCAAGTACCAACCTCGCTTTACTGACATCAGTAGGTCTCGCACTCTATCTACAAATTTACTCAATGAAATCTATACATCTCCTAGCTAATTTTCCCTCCCTATATATTTGAATCCTCTCTTTAACTATGCTCTTTATCTGTTATAATACAAAATTCCTACTAACTTTCTATGTTCTAAAGAAGAATAGAATCCTACTCTGCCAAATATTGTGTATCACAGCCCCTAGCACTGCAACCGTCACTTCCTTCCTGAATTTGCTCCTTCTTCTGTGCTTGATCTTCATCAATGTGACGGGGAGGTCATGCTATGTAATGTGCACTCCAGTCTATTCCTTCAGTTCTTCCCACAGCCATCTTGCCCATGTACACTGTGAGAACAAGTGTTGCACATCTTCAAGACCGTTCAGCTCACAAAGTTCACATGTTCCATCTGTACAATGAATTCCCATGATAATGATTCTATCTTTTGTTAATAGCTTTTTCTGCACTGCCAGCCATAGTATAAATTTGTGCTTGGGTTGCATGATTCTGTTCCAAATTAAATCTGCAATATTCCACTTTAGGCTTTCTCCTACCAGTTGGTTGTACCCCCATTGAGATCGAGTACCCTCCATTACTAGTAAGACAATAATTGCCATTCATGTACCATCATTTCATTTGTTGTTTTATACCATGTAGCTTCCTCCAATACCAGCTGCTATCCTGTGTTGGTTGATGTGTCCAGAGATCATCATTTGCTCTCATGTAAATGCCATGTATCCACTTCACCCATAGTACTTCCTTCTTGTTAATTAGTAGCCATATTAACTTTCCAACAGAAGCTATGTTCCACAGTTTACAGTTCTTGATATTTAGCCCACCTTGGTTCTTAGGTCGACATACTTTCTCCCAAGCTACTAAAGACATCCTCTTCTTCTCTGTAGTGCTTCCCCATAAGAAGTCCCTACATTTCTTATCTAATTCCTTCAGGACATTTAATTTTGTGGGAGGATGAACACTGCCCCCAAAAGTTATGTAGTAAAAATAGTACAGGCACAACCACCTGTAACCTCCCTACATAAGAAAGATGTCTATTTGATATTATGTTCAGCTTTTCAGTGATCTTCACACACAATTAGTGGCAGTCCATTTTACTCCATCTCTTTGGGGATAATAGGAGGCCTAAGTGTCTCATAGGGAATGTGCCACTTGAGTAGCCTGTGATGTCCAACAATTTGTGTTTTAGCTCATCATCCACTCCTGCAATATATATGCTTGACTTATCTCTATTTGTTTCCAGGCCTGTAGTCTCTAAGAAGTGTCTAAGTACTTCCATTATTCTCCTTACTGTTGCTTCATTCCCTTTGCAAAACAACATTAAATCATCTGCAGATGTCATGTGAGTGAGTTGTTGTTCCTTGCACATTAGGTGGTATCTAAAATCTGACAGTTGGCTCATTCTATTTAGAATCCTAGATAGATATTCCATCACCATAACAAAGAGCAATGGGGATATCGGATCCCCTTGCCTCAAACCCCTCTTCCCCTCAAAATATCCATACCCATCCCCATTAACCTTCACTGAGAACTTTGTTGTTGTTACACATGCCATGATCAACTGAATAAACTTTGGAGGAAAATCATAACCCTTTAACATTTCTTCAATAAACTCCCATTGTACCATATCATATGCCTTCCTTAGGTCAATCTTCATTAGATATCTAGGTGTAGTTTTCCTATTGTAATGTCTTAGTAAGTCGCTGCACATAAGGACATTATGAACTAATGACCTTCCCTTCACAAATACTGCTTGATTTCCACTTACTATGATAGGAAGCACCTGAGTAAGCATGTTACAAAGAACCTTCGAAATACACCTGTAGAGTACATTACAACATGATATAGGTCGAAATTGGCTAGCTTCTGTTGGATTAGTCACCTTAGGTATCATAGTTGCATTTAGTTGATTGAGCATTTGTTCCATTGCTGAAGAACTCTATCACTGTATCAGTGATACCCTTGCCAACCACTCTCCATGCATCATTGAAGAATCCTGCTCCATATCCATCAGGCCCGGGACTCTTATTAACATTGGTACTGAATATTGCTTTCTTGACCTCCTGTGCAGTTACACCTTTTATCAATTCTACTTGTTGTTGAAAGATAACACATGTCCTTGATTTAGGAACCCTTGCCATGACTTTCTCCTAGTTACTCCATTAGTATATAATAGCTTTTTATAACAGTTGACAAATACATCAGCAATCTTCTCAGGATTCGTTTGCAGTTGTTTCCACTCATCGTTGATCTAAGTCACTGATTGCAATAATCTTCTCTATTTAATAATGGAGATGAAATATTTGGTATTATCATCCCCAAGTCTAATCCATGTGACCTTATTTATCTGCATCAGAAAATTTTCTGCCATAATTGATGATTCTCTGAACTTATCCTTAGCATCTTTCTCCTTCTGTTGTAGATTCTGATCTAATGGTGTTTCCTGTAGCATTGCTTGCAGTTTCTGTATTTCCTCCGTATCTTTGTTTGATTCATTTATGACATTGCTAAAATTCCTCTTATGTAATGTTCTGAGTTTCTGTTTCAAAGCCTTTAATTTCTTTACTATTTGATACATCTTATACCCCACCACTTGCATTGCCCATCCATCTTCAACAATGGGTATGAAGTCATGATGTTTACTCCACATATTGTAGTATCTAAAAGCTTTCTTCTTCCTTGCATATGTCTTAATCATCTCCACCACTAATGGACAATGGTCACTCTTCCCTTCTGGAAGTGCATGAGTTTTACATTGTTGCATTGTATCTATCCACTCCCCATTAACAAATACCCAATCTATTTTTTGGCAGATTATATTTGTCCCCTGTTTGTCATTCCATGAGTAATTGTATCCATTGTTCGGTAACTCCATAAGTATACATTTATCAATACATTCTTGAAATTCCACCACCTCACTTAGTGCTACTTGATTCCCTTCCAATTCTATTTTCCTGCTGCAATACTGCATTGAAGTCCCCCGTGATTATCCATGGAAGCTGGCAGCCTATGCTCATTTGTTGTACATAAATCCATAATGCTTTCCTCTCATCTCTGAGATTATGTGCATGCACAAATGTGACCATGAATATGACTTGCATAGGAATGTACTTTATTTGACAAGTTACTGCCTGTGCAATTTCATTCAGGATTCTCACCTCATACCATTCTGGTTTTCACATTATCACAACTCTACCATTATAATGTGAGATATGATTGCTGCAGTATTGCCACCCTTCAAACATAGTATTAATAACAATCTCCACCTAATTACTTTTTAGTCTCATTTCTGGTAACCCAACTAGTCCAATATTCTGATCATTGCAGAAGAGTTTAACCTCTTTCTGCTTATTGAGGCCATTGAGGCCTCTTGTATTCCAACTCATTAGCTTAACCATCACCTATAGGGAAGATGGTACCACTCCCTCCTTTCACTCCTTCATTACCAGTACTTGTTTCTGCCTTATCCTTCTCCAGATTCTGAAAAGTATGGCCACAGGCACCACTGAATGTGTCTGCTTAACCATACTATTTTGTTTATGTGGCAGGATCCATTCTTGATGCCCCCTCCTGGGATTCTGTCTTTGCCATCTACCCTGCATATCCTCCCTCCCCATTTCTTTGACTCCCTTATCCTCCCGTGCATTCACTATATTAACCTCTTTTTCAGCATTCTGTTGTGTAACCATCTCTGGTTGTTTGCTTCCTTCCTTTTCCTACAAATATCTTCTGTATTCCCATATTTGTTACAACTAGAGCATATAGAAGGCTTTCATTCATATGTTACTCTTTTTTCAATCACATTACCTTTCTCATTTCTAAAGTAAATCACATCTGAAATTTTTCACCAACTTTCACTTTAACT